TTCTCCCATTGATGAGCTTTATCACCAAGACTGAATGGGAATAGTCTTAGCTTGAAGCTGTCTTCTGAAACTCCATTTATCTTGGTCAGATCGCACACCTTATCAAACTGGTCCAAGTGTTCCAAGGGATCTTCCATTGCTAACCCATGGAACTTTGAGTTCTGGACCATATTCAGCAATGATGCTTTCACTTCAAAGTTGTTGTTTTGCACAGGTGGTGCCTGAATACCAGCTCCATACTGATGAGCATTGGCCCTGTCATTCTCTCCAACATAGACTTGGGGTTGCTCATATCTTCTTTGTTGTGGTTGGAAAGGGTGGGGTTGGTGGTGCACCTGGTGTCTTTGCTGAACATTGGCCTGATGCCTCTGTTGATGAGCTTGAGCTTGTCCCTGGTGGACATAAGCTTGTTGATGGTGCACCTGTTCCTGCTGAACATTACCCTGGTGAAGCCCTTGACCAACTCCATTACCAGCTCTATTACCCTGAGCCTGTTGCTCTTGAACCGGTTGTTCTATATCTACCACGTGATCTCTTTGTTCTGCCATCTCAGTCTGATCAATTTGTCTACCACGTCTGTCTCTTCTCCTCCTTGGTACCAAAAGGTTGATGTTGTCGTTTAGAGGAAAAGGAGGACCACAGCTTCTTGATCTAGACCTGGTGTTCATACACCTGAAATCACAAACAGAACTTGAAAGGAATCAGTAAAAACAAGAAAGTAAGCACTTGATCTCAAGAACAGATCAGAGCTTAATGCTAATCAAACCACAATTTGGCAACGGCGCCAATTGATAGATAAGACTTTTAGGGTCTCAGGGCTATCAATCCCCTTGTCAATGTAGCACAAAGAGGTTTATCAATCCAGATGTGGTGTTAGACACTAAGCTATATGATCAAGTTCTTAATTCAAGCAAACAAGAGTGGGTTTTGATTAATCTAGAGACAAATATAAACATAAACAGGATTAAAGACTAATGACAATGACAAATGGTGTGAATAAGATATGATGGAGGCATGAGATTCTAGACATGATAGATGGTTAGGGTGCTTTGGTGTTAAACTAGGAATGCAAATGACAATGATGAGACATGATTCAAGTGATTAAGAACTCTAATCTATGTTAATCCTCTCATGAAGGTATTAACCCCTATACTAATCCATTTTCAAACCAAATTCCCATTTGTGAAATATGAATCAATATGCATTAATAAACAGTTCTCAATGATCATTCAAGCATTTAACAAATCATTCCCATGATGAAAAATTACTTAGACCTCTAACACAACTCTTTCAGGAATTTCATCAAACACTTTTCGTGCATGAAATTCCCAGAATCTAGATCTCAAGTGATTATCAAGGATCTAGCATAGAGAATAGTTGTTTAGAGAAATGAACCAATGAATCTAGCCCTAAGCACTCCTAATCTAACACTTTAGCACCCTAACCTACACATCTAGAACCTCATTAAGGTAACTACTCACTAATCATGATCAACACACTAGATCCTTTGCAAGATGTGTTGTTAATCATGATTAGAAGTTGATTTTGATGAATAGAAATGATGAACAAGATGGAAAGAAACTGCAAATCGATTTAAACTCTCTAAAACAAAGTGTATTAAGTGGTTTTTCACAAAAGGGGAAAAAAAGACTAAAAGTAGATTAAGTCTCCTCACAAATTAGGTCTAAAAACCTTATAAAAGAAGCTTGGGCGAACCGGGTCAACCCGGAACAAACCGGGTACTGACCCGGCCTTGATGGGCAAAGAAGGGTTTGCCACGGTCTGGTGCATCCTTGGTGTGACCGTGGCATTCCTGACCGTGTCAAAGTTTTTACTTGTGTTCTTGGTTCCTTTTGTTGCCGCGGTCTGATCAAGCTTCATCTGGGACTCGTGGCAAGTTAGCCGTGTCAAACGCCGAAGATGTGTAGAGGTTGCCACGGTCAAGCCTCCAGACCGTGGCATTCACACCGTGCCAAAACTCGCATGCATGTGAGTACCTTCCCAGCCAAGTATATGCTTGCCACGGCCAAGTCTCAGGCCGTGGCATTGAGATCGTGTCAAAAGCCGAAACTGTGTAGAAGTTATCTCCAGCCTCTTGTTCATTTGCCACGTTCAAGTCCTAGACCGTGGCATTCAGCTCGTGCCAATCGCCGAAGGTTGCAAGATGTTGCCACGGCCAAGCTTCATACCGTGGCATGTTTAACTTAGTCATCCTGGGCTGTCTGGACCATCTCGCATTCCGGAGAGTGTAACTTCCTGGAGACCTGTCCGAATTGAGTGATTCCGGTTTCAGAAGACAGAGGACTCATTTATCTCCAACTTTGATGAAGGAAGTTTCAGTGCTTGGGAAATGTAAGGTTTCCTGGAGGGAACATCTTTGAAGTGCATTTACACGACCAGAGAGAAGTGTCTAGACATGTGTCCATTCCGGAGACCGTATCTTTCTGCTCAAAGCTCCGAATTGACTGATCTCGGTTGTTCTGGAAAGAAGACTCAAATGTCTCTGATTCTCATGAAGGCCGCGGAAACTGAATCGGTCTGGAAGTGCACCGTCCTTCGCATCCTTCAGAACTGATCTGCTCGGTCCGGAATACCTGCGAGACAGGGGTTTCTTCCGACGAGCTTATCTCTCTGCTCACGCGTCCGAATTCCACGATTCCAATTGCTATGAGACCGTCCTCCAATGCTCTCCAACTTCTATGAAGGACCCGCCGTCTGAATAGGACCGGAAGGCTCCCCGGACGGGCGATTTCTGAGACTCGTTCACACCCGGAGATTTTGGCCGATACACTTCATTCGCGGTACGTGAAAATGGCCGGTAAAGCTTACCGCGGTACATGAAAATGGCCGGTAAAACCTTCCTGGCCAGCGAGAATGGCCGATAATCTCCCAAGACCTGATTTTTCCACTTTTTCAAGCTTTGCTCACCATTCCACCTCCTGGATTCATCTTTTCAGTTCCATATTCACCTGACAGACACTCAAAATATGCAAAGACTCATTGGGACCTAATGCATCTCCTAAGTTCTAAAATAAACCCTAAGGACCTAAAATGCATGAAATAAAACATGATTTGGGATGATTTATGCAACCTAAATGATGCAAATTATGAACATATCACAGATATAAATTTTTTTCTACAAGATTTTGCACTAAAATTTAATTCTCTTTGTTTGGAGATTTTAACATTTCATTTCATGGTAATATTTTTAAAACTTTCTCATTGTAAAAAATATATATATCAACGATTGAGTTCTATCGATAAAATTGATCATGTTAGTTACAATCGTTGTTTTACTTCTTCTCAATGTCAATTGTATAGTTATCTTTTATATAAATATATATCTATTAATATTTTACAATAGTAGTTATTTTTTATTTTCAAATGATTGAACATTCACATCTAAGTATCATCACTTTTTGTTATATGTATGTTCACTTAAATATATTTAATTTAAAATAATTAAAGTTCAAAATAGTTGATTTCTCCTGCGATTTCGCAGGGGCTCGAGACCTAACACAGCTTTAAAAAATTATAAATAATATACAAACCCGCACGGATCTTCACCTAGTAGTATTATAAAAACCTAGTTATGCCCACATCTTATCGATGTGATACTCTTAACAATAAATCCTCTTTATGAAAACAAAAAAAAAAACATCTGAACACAATATTCTCTGTATATGATATATTAATACACTTTTATCCTTTCTTTATTTTTGTTTTCTTTTTATTTTATTTTTCTCTTTCTCTCTTTCACTTGTTCTCTTGCATGCGCATGCTCCTCTTTTTCCATCTTGTATCTGCCGCTCCACCTACCATCTTCTTCTTCAACTTTCCCCTTCTTTTTCCCTCGCCTGCTCGTATCTGCGACTCTAATCCCATGTACTAATTTTGATTTGCTTTCAAGCATAAGTTTTAGAATTTTAATTTATCTCAATAGATTTTATTAATTTACATATCTTCTCTTTTGATTTAGAATTTTAATTGATATTTTTATCTGAATTTCAATTTTAATTAATTAATTTTCCAAAGTTATGTCATGTTCCACATTTTTCACCATTGCTACATCTGTTGTTGTCGATAACCTGATCATGCAATCTTCTTCTCCGCCGCAACCTCTCTCTGACTCAATACCACTGGTCAGTTACAGTCTCTCTCGCACATGAATTCTCACTATAAATTAGCCAATAGGAGCCTGCTACCCACATCAGAGGTCATATCATTGAGTACCCTAATTTGTATATAAGGTCTATTAGTATAGATTGTCTATATATATAGAATGAATATTTTTGGTTTTCAGATACTTATTTGATATATATAAGTTTGGATAAACCATCATGAAATATGCAAATAAAGATATATATTTTCATGTTAAAGCAAAGAAGTATAAAATGGTACAAGAAAATATAGATGTTTTTGAGATTAGCTATGTATCTGATTTTTAAAAATAGAGATACTATGTTATATAACAAAAATAGACTTTCTATTTTATTTGTACTACTATTGACGTTTTGAATTTTTTTGGATGGAATTCTAAAATTTAAATCATATTAGGTGTAAAAAAATATCGATATTTTTTTAATCCTAAAACAAACTTTACTTAATTAATAGTTTACAAATAATGCCAAAAAACAAATTTTCTGGAATAACTATTATGCAGTAAATAAAATCTGAAGAAAAAATATAGTCCAACTATTTTTTCTTTTGCAGAGGGATAAAAATGATGAAGTTACTACTCTCTTTGAATATCCAAGTTGGCGTGGTTATGAGAAAGATTTTTTTGTCTGCTTTGTTGATAAAAAACCAAA